TAACATTTTAATTACATTTTTCTTTTAAACAACGAATTTCATACTATGAATAATAATATGAAAATGAAAATAATTTTTGAAGGATAATGAGAACCGCCTCCTCGTGGTGTCCTCTGGGTAATGCTAAATGTTTCTCAAAAATATTATAAGAAAAATGATGGTTTTTACACCTAAATCATTTTTACCTGAAAAAAATCGGGGCCGAGTTTACATCTAAATAATTTTGACCTGAAAAAAACCCGGGCCGAGTTTACCATCGACCTTTTGGAAATGTTTTTTTCCTCGGGCCGAGTTTACAATCTCCCGTTTTTTAATAACCCCGAAAAAGTAGCCGATATTACTGGTATAAATTTAGAATTAATTAACCGAATAAGTACGATTTTATCTGTAATTTCTAGTGGTCATGAAATTGATACTGAAAAATTTGATAACTATGCTAAAATGACAGCACAACTCTATGTAGAGCTATATGATTGGTACAGAATGCCACCATCAGTAGGTACATAAGGTGTTAATTCACGGAGCTCTTGTAATAAAATATTCTTTGTTGCCAATCGGATTCCTTTCGGAAGAAGCTCAAGAAAGTAGATATAATTATATAAAGACTATAAAAGATACCGCGAACACCACACAAGAAAATCCTCACGAATAAATACAAATTTAGACTTGTTGCATTTTCTTCTTATTTCTTCTGATCCTCTAATTACATCAAAGAGAACTTTAACTAAAATGTCTTAGACTGAACTTTCAACAGATGCATTGAATTTAATAGATTTTTCTAAAGAAACAAACCAGGAAAGTGATTCAGAAACCGATTCCGGAACGGATTCAGAATAAAATAAACATAAACATAAAATAGTAATGTACCTACCTATATTAAATAATAAGTAAAACTGATCTGTATATTATGTATTTTGTGCTGTTATACATACTTTTATAATATTAAAATGTTATATTTTGTGACTTTATAGACGTCATGGAACATTAATTTTTTTTTTAATAGGTAATTGCATATTAATTTATAATTCATAATATTATTATAGTATAATATATTTAAATGGTATAATAAAGGTAAAACAAATAATTTCCAATTCAATATTATGTTTCATTTTCTTATTATAGGTACTTAACCAAATTTCAGGAACTTTTGGACCTATATTTTAAGAAAAAATTATTTTGGCCGCCTAGAATGGTGATCGAGACCACTGTGAGTCGGGTAAGTTGACGAATTGATTATAATTCTTAACAAATTATGATATCAATCGATATTAGTAACCGATTACATAAATGATGTTACGGACAACTTAATTCTCGATACCGAGGTTATTCTGATAAGAATTAAATATGTTATTAATGTTTCTTCTCCAAACCACGTTTTGATAACATTTTTAGTTCATTTGAAGTAACGATTTCCCGAATACCGTAAGTATAATTACTAAATCGATTTTACACTTTAGAAACTGCATGTTATTACCTATATTTTGAATATATTTATGATAACTATGATAAACTGCATGTTATGATAAATAATTAAAACGTTTAAAAAAATGTGTGGGGCAAGATTACACTGGTAAGTTGACGATGTCGTCAGCTTACATCTTTAAATAATTAAGTTGTTAATTTTAAATTTTAAATAAAGGTTTTGTATTATTTAAATAGTTTGTTTGATCGTTTTTATTTAATCAAATAATAATTTGTATTATTTTGTGAAATTGAACTTTCATTGTGTATACAATTTGTATGAAACATTTTAATAAAATTAAATAAATAAATTCCTTAAATATAAATTAATTGAAAATAATATTCAATAATTTACCTTGAGTAATTTAATATAAAATGTTTAATATTATCATAGATTAAATATACAAAATATTTATTCTATATTTCATTGATTTATCTATGTAATAATATACACCAGTCAACTTACCCCAAGTACGGGGTAAGATGACGAATTCAGAATTTTTTTTTGTAAAATTTATAAGTGATAAACCCTTTAATATTAAAGCTTGAAATTATAACAGGTTATTCTTCATATTTAAAACAATGCTTATACAAAATTTCAAGATTTTCCGAATATTATTTAATAATGTAAATATTAATCAATCCTTAAGTTCGTCAACTTACCACACTCTTCCTACGAGTATATGTATACGTACTGTAAACGTAAAATATATGTATATCATTAACCATATTTCGACGTAAGTTCGACTTACTAGGATCAACGTATGTTCTACGTTGAATAAACGTACATTTATAACGAAAAATATACGAGTATAGATATACGTATTGCAAACGTAAAATAAACCTATTTAAACGTATACTATACTTACCGTTATTATACGATTAATAACTACGTATATGTATACACCAACAACATTCTTATTATAAACGTAGATTATACGTATTGTGTTTACTGGGAACTTCATTGCCCTATTCATCACTATTATTTAACAACTTACGTTTTACTGACAGTTGGACCGATAGGTGATAGCATTGTAGATGCAAATAAAATTTTTTCAGATGCATCAATATGTTTTGTGTACTAGTACTTGGCAATGAAGAGTCCATTGAGTGATCGGAATTGAATACTGGAGAAACTGATCTACTGCTCGAATCAAGCATATCTCTAACAAATTGAGATTTGTTCATGATCTAAAAAAAATTGTATTTGTTAATAGAGAGAATTTTTATAATATTGCATTGATATAATCTGATATTATATAAGTAGATGTAGAGGGTGCCTAGGTACTTTAAACAACATCAAATTATAATGTTCTCATTTGCAAGATAAACACAATGGTTTACAAATTCCAAATGTACAATTTATTAATATAATATAAACATGTTTAAATGTTTTCTATCCCAATTTAAATTAATATTTATGATGGTAGGTAAAAATCTCATAACTCATGAGCCTTGACAACATAATAAGAGTTATACCTACTGTGATAGTGTGATATTAGTATAAATTATAGATGAAATCAAAATATGCCTTTAAACAATGTCTTGTTTCAGACTTAAAATCGTACAACATAGTGAGTTTGTGTTCAGTAAGCCAATTTTAAGTCAAATTTATATTATATTATAAAATTTAAATGTAAGAATATTATCTAGAGGCTGGAGCATGACATTTAAATATCAATATTAACCCTGAGGTTATTATTTATATTTTAATTTTAAAGCGAGTTATAAGATTGTAAAATATTAGGTAACTAATAGTTTGAAATTCTCATAACTTGCTTGAATATTAAAACTTCAATAATCATCCATGGGATTTCAACATAATATCCTTACCTTTAAATTTGATGATAGGTAATTCACTCTAATATTAAGGCTGGTGTCACACTTGAGGAATATCCGCAGCGGACGTTCCGCGGCGGAATTTCCGCAATATCGAAATTCATATATTTATATACTAGTGAACACATTACAGCGAAATTTCCGCACGGAAATAAAAACCACTACACGACGCGATTATTCCGCGAGATTTATTTCTTCGGCGGATACCAAAATAAATCCTAACATGTTATTTTGGGTTATCCATGTCATATTTGAAGCAGAAATTCATAGCGGAATCGTAATATTTCATTTTATTCATCATTTGATTATTGATTCTTCAACGAGCATCATCATCATGGTTAGACGTTGAATTATTAATTTCTGAAGTGCAGTCAAATCCATGTTTATGGGATTAAGGAATACAGTAATCGAGAAGTAAAAAAAAAAAAAAAAAACATGGAACAAAATAGCAAAAAATATATTTTCCGATTGGGAAACAATACAGATCGGTGAACAAAAAGAAAAACGTAAGTAAATAATTTTAATTTTAAATATCATATGGAGTATAGTATTTACAAACATGGAATAAGTACCTAATTCATAAGTCAAATTTTTAACACCATCACTATGGATCTACCTACTCTAAATAATAATATATAAGTTTTAACTCTTAACTTTTAACTATAAATATAATAATAATAATATGATATTATAAAATAATAATTTAGAATTATTTAATTAAAAATAATTATTAATAAATAATTAAATCCTGTTATTTTGCCACGGAACACTTCCAACTTCCCTTAAAAAGTACTGGGCGAATTGATCTCTAACCTGTTGTCCAACTAAACTTCTAGATGCAGTTCCTCGTGGTTCAATAGCTAACATGTTATTACAGTTTAGAGTGTCTTTCAAACTTTTTAAATTAGTCACGATGGCTCTAATTCTAAATAGTGAATATAATATCTCAGTTCAGTGTATTTTACTGTTATTAGTTTATTTAACTGTATTTTTTTTTTTTTTTAACAGTAACAAACAACGTAATCGCAAACGAAATCATTATTGATAACCTGGAAGATGTTCAACATAATATCGATAATGAAACAATTGAATCTGGTCCTCTGGAAAATGAGGTATTACCCAAGTCAAAAATAATAATTCAACCTCGTAAACAAATAATGACTGATTTTCAAAAAATATGTGGTTGAAGTTTTATCCAAAAGGAAAATTAACAACGACAACGAAGATTTTGATGAAGATAAACTATTTTTACTTGATAATGATAGATGCTATACCAAACCGTGGTGTAGAGTGATTAAATAGATTAAGAAATTTCCAACAGTTGCAAATAAAATAGATGTTTATTAAAATAAAATACAGGTCCAAATTGTTATTATTTATAGTAACTCAAATTTTGAACATTATTAAAAAGTAAATTGTGATTTTATTAGGTACTTTACTTTATTTTTAGAGGGATAGCTGGAAAAGGACTGGGATATTTTGGATACCTATCGTTTATTCGCCTAGTTACGACTGAGCCCGCTGTATGTGAGTCTGACAATAAACATGCACAAACAATCGCTGCGGTGTTGGAAACCAATTTATGTATTATAATAATAATATTAAAAAATAAAAATAATAATAGTGTCCGAGCAGACTGGACCAAACAGATAACGAATAGAGCGGTCTCTAAACCGGAACATAATAACGACAACGTCAATATGAGCCCGAAACAGTGTGATCACAATCCGACCTCGGCAACCGAAAACGATTTGACGGCCATGAGTGATGTCGGCGGTGGCCCGATGGAGATGATGCTGTTCACCGTTAATCAGATGTTCGAGCATGCCGTGTTGGTAAATGAGCTGGAATCAATAGCCATGATCACGTCAATTTCTGTTTTCCGAGTCCGGCGGCTGCAGCGAAAGCTGCTCGACAGTCTCGTGGTCCTGGCCCACATCGCACACCGTTTTCTTCTGCACGGCGATCCGGCCGTCCGGGCAACTGCCGAACTGCTGACTACAGGCACCGCATTCTTGATCGGTCGCTTGTATAACTTAACGAGGGTTGGCCCGCCAATGGCAAAGTAACGCGCTAACCTCGATGATAATTGCTTGCATTATCACCCAACAACAATAATATTACATTCATCTATGGAATTAGCAAGAGCCGTTAACAATACAATAACGTTATATTGTTCGATGTTCGACCCCGATCATAATCTATTCTACAACTACCTATTTTATTTATTAGTCACTTAAATCAGTCTCCCCACACCTTATAATAATAATAATAATATATTTATATAGGTACCTAATATTAAGTTCAGTCTATTGTGCCAATGTTGTGCGATTTAATATCCTACAATATTACTCGACGACCGAAACCGTATCATATCTCATAATCCTTTTACTATGTCAAAAATAAACATTATAAACACCTATTTACTATAGGTTGGGAATTTTTTTCTTTCAAGTTTCCCATTAAATGATATTATATTATATGGAGGTTTTTATGAAAGAAAATTTTAGGAAAATCCATTGGAAAAGTAGGAAATCTGGATGTAAAAAATACAACAGTGACGCAGCAGGTTTGGTTAGGATTTTGTATTAATTGATTATATTAATCCACCATAAGTAGAATACGACAAGCCTGATATGACTTTTATACTTTAGAGTTAAACCAGACACGTACAAACACCAGATAATAATATACTGCTGCGAAACAGAATTTTTATTTTTGCAACGGAGCAGTTAAGATTAATTCAGTGGCGTGCCCAGCAGGTAGGCCTGGTAGGCCCAGGCCTACCCTGTTTTCAAATAATAATTATTAATATTTTTCAGGAAACATAATTTTATACATTTTTTTTCTTCATAATACGATTATGTAATTGAATCATTTTGGAACAAAGATTATTTATTTATTAGCCACTTACAGCAAGCGTTTATACGTTTTTATACGTTATTATTAGTTCTTTCCTTCGTCGCAAACAATTGTAGCCACAGTACTGCTTATCGGCTAAAAACTACGACTAAAAATAGTAAATAATAGACAATAATACACCCGAAGTGAGTTATTTATACATTCGTCACTGGCCGTTTACTGCCGACAACACTTCCACAACGCCAGGATCGCTAGTATGGTTTATAAAATATGTTATTTTTCGGTATTAATAATTTATTAGTTTATTGCAGTGTGTACTGTGTAGTCGCGTAGACGTATTATAGTGACTTGTGTGTAACCGAGCCGATCGAGGAAATCGTTTTGTCTGTTTTTGTTTATGTACACTATTAGAATAACCTATAAGTACTTTTTTATTTTATATTGGTTATAACAGTTATAACTTGACTAATAATTAAATAAAAATAAAGAAATATGATTAGCCAGTTTTTTAAACTTACTCCGAAATCCACAAGGACATTGAACGATGATGATACTGATGATAGTACAATAGATCAACCACAAACGAAAATGTTAAAATTAAATGTTACCTCAACTTCTAACGAGTCTTCTATTTCCTCTTCTAGCTTAAATGTGCTTGACATTAGCTTAAATAGTGATGAACAACCTATTCAGCCGATTATCAATTTTCCACGTCGTAAAATTTGTGAAAAACAACGTAGTTTTCAAAGTTCATGGTACAAAGTTTATCCTTGGATTGAATATTCTGTTCAATTGGATGCAATTTTCTGTTTTTTTTGTCGTCATTTTACTAGTTCTATATCTCGTGAAAAGCATCAAGATGTTTTAATAGCCACAGGATATAATAATTGGAAAAATATTTCGGGGATGGCAAAAAAACATAACTCGGCAGATTTGCATAAAACATCATTAGCCAATCATCAAGGTTATATATCATCAAAAAGTATAGGAGCTGTTACGACTCAAATGAATAGTCATGTCGAAGAGAATATAAATAAAAATCGAGAAATATTAAAAAGTGTAATTCGTTCAGTTTTGTATTGCGCACGACAGGATATAGGTTTACCTGGTCACAATAATGTAATCGAATATTCAAATGAAGACGAACACGGTGTAGAAACTACAAAAAATCAAGGTAATTTTAAAGAACTATTAGATTTACTATGTTCGGAAAATGAAAAGTTTAATACAAATTTAAAGTCTCTACCTAAAAATGCTAAATATACTTCAAATAAAATCCAAAATGATATTTTATTTGCGTCTTCAAATGTAATTTTACAAACTATTATTAGAGAAGTGAATGAAGGTAGTTCGGTTTATAGTTTAATTGTTGATGAAGCTCGTGATGCGTCAACATTTGAACAAATGTCAATATATATTAGATATGTACATTGTACATAAACTAACTATAAAAGAAAGGTTCTTAGGATTTGTACAAGTAGAAGAATTAGATGCACTAGGCCTAACTATTCTATTATCGAATTTTTAAATTCAGTTGGTTTAGATATTACAAAATGTATAAGTCAATCCTACGACGGTGCATCAGTAATGTCTGGTTCTACCAATGGCGTACAAGTAAAAATTAGAGAACTTTCTAAAAACAAATGCCCTTATATACATTGTTATGCACATCGGCTTAATCTAGTTTTGGTCGATGTTGCTAAATCAGTTGAGATTGTTGACAATACGATTGGATTGCTTGAAGCAATTTATGCATTTCAATAGAGTTCAACTTAACGTTATAAAATATTTTCTGATGCCCAAAAAGATTGTGAAACAATTTTAAAAGTCCCTCAACATAGTGATACTAGATGGGTTGCAAAATATAAAGGTATTCATTTTTTTTTAATTCGTTTTGAACATGTCATAAAAGCTTTATCACAAATGTCACGTAGTTCAAAAAAAAAAGAGGCCGCAGAAGCCAAAGGGTTATTAAACCAATTTCGATCGTTTGACGTATTATTTGTTTTAACATTTCTTGATAACCTTTTATCAACTATCAACGTACTTTCAATACATTTACAATCTTCTTATCTCGATATAATTAAGTGTTTAAATTTAATTGATGCTACAATAAAAGAGCTTCAACGTTTACGTTCGGATGAATTTTTCAATAACTTTTATAAAAAAGCTCAAATTATGGTTTCAGATTTAAATATTTCTATGGATAATTATGAAAAAAGACAGAAAAATATTAATACATTAAGTGATTATGTAATAACTTCAACAATTGGCTTAAAATGTAATAAAACTACGACTCAAAAATTTCGAATTATGTATTTTACAGTAATAGATAATATGTTGAGCGAAATGAAAAAAAGATTTAACAACAATTCAGAATTTTCAACTGCTATTTCAGTATTCAATCCGATATCGACCAACTTTTTAAATGATGATTTTGTTTTAAAGTGTATAAATTATTATGGAGATGATAATTATTTCTCTGACCAAGTAATAAGTCAAAGTAAATTAGCAAAAAATATGTACAGTAGTTGTAAAAATATCATAGATTTTTACAACGAAATATGCATTATGGGGCAGTCATTTGGAGAAATTAAAAAAGTCATTGAACGAGTGTTAGTTATACCTGTAAGTTCAGCATCGGCCGAAAGAAGTTTTTCAACAATGAAAAGGATAAAAACTTATTTACGAACATCTATGTCTACTACACGTCTTCATAATTTAGAGTTAATTTCTATTGAGAGGGAGTTAAGTTTCGAATTAATTCGTGTGGGCAAGTGGGTGTCGCTCTGCTGTACAGTAGGTTACAAGTGGGTCATTGTATAATGGATGGTATTAAATTTGAATTCAATGATATAATATCATTGTATAAGAAAAACGATTCTGAGCGGAGACGGTATGTCCTTCTAGGTATAAGACATATTATATACATATCTATGGTATTAAAAAAAATTGACCTATAATGAATTCCAAATTAATCATATCACAATATCCATTAGGTACTTATAACGCGTTATACACCAACAACAAACCCTGATACTATCATAGATATATAGTAGATTACTTTAGAAATTTCAAGTACCCACGAATAATATTATACAATCACAACAAAATAACTAAAATCGTAATTCTTGGTTTAAATATGAAATTTTGTCTAAATTTGAAATTAAAATGTCTGTAAAAAATAATTGTGTTTATATATTTTTTAGATTTTTTGATTACAGTATGAATTATTTAAGAGAATCTTTGTTTTAAATTTTCAACTCTTAGTTATAAAAACTGAACATTTTATAATTTTTTAATTCCAACGATTGATAATTTTCGAGATTTTGATAAATTTTGTCAAAATTCCAACTTTAAATGCTTATAAAAAAAATTGTGCCTATGTATTTTTAATATTTTTCAACTGATATTGTAACAATATATCAGGAGCCTTGTATTAAATTTTTACACTTTTTGGCCCAACAGATAAAACTTTATTGATATTTATAGAAAAAAATTAAAGAATTAAAATAATAATAGTTTAATACACAATTGCTTGCTATTGGTTACGGGCATCTTTGTTGATTGTTATTTTTTGTCAATATATTATATATTATATATTCTAACTATAAATATCATAGATGTGTAATGAAAATCATTCTACAGAGTCAACTCTGGAACTACTTATCAGATTTTCTTGATTTTTTTTAAACGAAAGAGTATATCACGGAGAAGGTTATAATAAAACAAAATTTTAGGAAAATCCACCGGATAAGTATTAAATCTGGGTGTCAAAAATACAACAGTGACGCAAAAGGTTAGGTTAGGATTTTGTATTAATTGATTATATTAATCCACCATAGGTAGAATACGACAAACTTGATATAACTTTGATACTTTAGGGTTAAATCATACACTTACGTACAAACTAGGGGTCCGCGATCTACCGCAAGTAGATTGCCTACCTGATAGTATACTGCTGCGAATCAGAATTTTTATTCCGAGCAACGGAAAAGTTAAGATTAATACACCGAATATTAAATAACGAATTGAACAAAGTTTGAGTCATATAAAGTCGTATAGAATTGGTACATTTAAGGGGCAACGAAGTGCACGGGTTCAGCTTGTATTATATAAAAATGAATGTTTGTTTCTCTGTTTGTGTGTGTGACCTTATGCATTCCTAAACCGTTCATCCGTTTGCAATAAAATTTGGTACAGACATAGATTAGAACTTTGAGAAGACTACTTAAAAAAGGGTAAATTATAGTGGTGCAAACCGGATAAGGTCTAAACAGGGATTTTGAGATTTACTATGGAAATTTTTGTTTATAAATGGTTGCTTTTGATTTTAATATTAAATAATTATATATGTATATATATAGTTTGGTTATCGATAGTGGTTGAACCGTTAGTATACGTCCTTTTTCCGTCCAGTGGTAAAAAAAATCCCTAAAAGTGCCGCATGGTAATGTGGAAATCCCCAAAAGTGCTGGACTCTCATATCATATCACATTTTAAATTTAATAATAATTTGTAGTTAAAAATTTATAAAATGTTCAATTTTTTTTAGCTAAGGATTAAAAATTTAAAACAAGATTCCACGTAATTAGGTTATATATAAATTACTTTATTCACCTAAATATCATCAAATATATATAATCGCCCGGCCCACCGCTCTCTCTTCTCGCCACACTCGAAGCGCAAACAACTTGGCTTGACCAAGTGATTTTTCGCCCCATCTCGACCATCGACGAAAAGCGTGTGTGTTCTCTGCGAACGACGGCTCTCAGCCCCCGAAACGAGAGTCTGCCGATACAGACTGTTTGAAGAATGTCACCAAATGTTTTACCTTATTAATGATAATGGCAATGTCTTCAGTATGGTCTAAAGCATCTTGCACGACAAGATTGAGTGTGTGATCAAAGCAAGGCAAATGTTTATCCTTACCAAAACATTCATACACTGCATTTTTAATATTTGCACCATTATCAGTGACAACCAAAAAAACTTGATGTTTGTCAATACCCCATGTCCTAAGTAGGTATATCATTCAGCCATCCAACAATATTTGCCGATGTATGACGTTCACCAAGCTCTAGCACTCCAAGAGTTACGCTTTCCAACTTTAATTTGCATAAACTAAAGAAATGGACTGTCATACCTAGGTAACTTTTAGTATTTGTCGTATCAGTCCATACATCTGTAGTGAGTGTAATACTTTCAACTAAAGATAACTTATTTTTAATGTGGACGGATAAAACGTCATACTTAGAACTAATAAGTTCTGTTACCGTCTTTCTACTTGGAACTTTATACATTGGTACAACTTTTTTCATAAAGTACTTGAAACCTTCTTTTTCAGTTGATGACAACGGCAAATTATCCTTGACCAACATATAGACCAATGCGTTTGTGATTGATACACTTTTAGCACCACCACCTAAAAAAATTAATTTATTAAAATAGTAAAAATTACCAGATTTATACAGAAATGTGCACATAGAATAAATATTATACATTGTTTAATTTATTTTAATTTCCCTTAACTTTGAAGTCATGTACCTTATATAAAAAAGGACTCACAGACAATTATAATAACCTATTATGACAAATATTCATGTTTAAAAATATTTCATAATTTAATATTACAGAAAACAATTTTTAGAATTTTTTTCAAAACCTTCACATAGAAAACTTAGAAAAACTAAAAGTTGACCAGAAAAAATGGCAACTTGTCAACATTGAAAATAGTATATTTTCTACACAATTATTAACACTAATAACTTGAAATTTACGGCTTACGCAGCTCATTAAAAAGGGTTATATTTATTTCAAATTAATTTTTTAAAAAGCATACTTGCCATTAATCAGTTATTTGAACTAAAACAAAAATTATCCAACCAAACAAAAATGCGTTTTTATTTCTTTGAATATGTAAATTTCACCACTTACTTTCATAAGATCTCAAGTCCCTAATTGATTGATCAATTGTAGGTTGAATTAATCTTGAACTTAAACTGCTTGATCTGCTAGTTGAAGTAAAACTCGATACCACAGAAACTGAATCACTGGTTCTCGAAATAACCGAATCAGCTTCAGTTTGCATGGAACATTGCGATACTGGTCGAGACGTAGAAGCTATCATTGAATCTAAAGTGGTTTGAGTACCAGACTGCAATTAAAAATTAATAAAATTAATTATGAAATGTCCATGTAATTGAAATATTGAAATATTTTGGTAATTAAATAATGAAACTTACTATGGATTGAACAAGTAGAGCACCATCTTCGTCTGGTTCATCATTATCAACTGCAGTAGTTGTGGTGTTTACTTTGCGAGTTTTTGTTTTTGGATTCGGAATTTGAATTCCCGGGTATTTAACGTTTGAGATGCTGTTTTAAATTGGTCGTATTGCCACCGGTTTTCACAACAGTATCACATAATTTGCAAACACCTACACTAGCATCATCCACTTTTCTGAAGTAATTCCACATTATTGAAGAATTTGAAGAAGCCATTATGGTCTTGTAAAGACTGCAACGGGAACGCCGACTTAAAAGACGTAATGGCCAACGGGCAACAGTAAAATACACGTCGTAATGGACACGGTTAACAGTTTAACACTACGAGTGATGAAGGTGGCAAACACTGCACGCACCGAGTTAAAAGACGCAATGGCCAACGGGCAACAGTACAATTACAATACACGTCGCAATGGCCAATGGGCAACAGTACAAACTACGAAATGTAGACGATATACTCGTAAACGTCGTAAAGACGCAAACGAATACGACACAGGTCAGTACACTCAGTAGTCGCAAACACGAAAGATCAAAGAATTAAGAAAGAGTAAAGACACTAAAGAATAAAGATTCAAGTACTAAAACTAACCTACAAAAGAGTAAACTGTAAAGACTACCAAGGACCGATAGGAGATCGGGGGGGGGGGGGAGGAAACATGTGTCCAACAGTGTCTGCGCCAAGAGGGAAAAATTCCCTGGGAAATAAAAAAATCGGCCGAAAAAATCGGACAAAAAAAATCGATTCAGCAAAAAATCGCCCTATTAGAATCGATTCAAAAAATCGAAAAATCGACTAAAAAAAATCGATTTAAATCGCCCATCACTAAACGAGACACATTACATCTGTGTACGATCGCAGCCCACTTGGTGGTTTATCGCGAAAGTCCGTCGCGACTCCGAACACTCGTTCGCGATCCTCAGTTTTTCCCTCGATAGACAACGACAATCACGTGCAGTGCCGCCGCATATGTAAATCATCATCTTGTAACATTTTCCGAATTAATAATTAATAAACAAAATATTTGTATCCTCAAAACCTAGTTACGCCACAGGCTCATAGATAATATAAGAATGGATAGGACATAAGAAATTATCACAAGAAAATTTAGTGATAAGTTTTTAATGTTATATGGGGCAAATATTGATAGGATAATTGATAGTTGATAATTGATATTATTCTATATTCTAATTACAATTACAGTCCGTATCATCTATAACGACGGTCAAGGGACCGTAAAATATACGTCGTTATAACCAAATTTGATTTTTTTTATTTATACATTATACACTCGTAATCTACTAGTGTCTAGTACAATGAATTTTTAAACTACATACACAAGTACATATTATATTAATATGATTTACATAATGCATACATATTTAATAACAGCCAATATGCAGACATATTATTTTATTATAAATTTAAATTAAAAATATGTATTGTTTAAATAAATATGTAATTTTTTCAAACACAATTAATCTAATCAATAACAAAATTACAAATTAGTAGGTACACAATTATTTTAAGAAGTCAGTAA